GGGCCGCACTCCGGACCAGACGGACTTTTTGCTCTTTTGCCCTGCTCGTCCTCGTGCTGAGCCGTATAGTTCGAAATCTCCCCCATGAGATCAGCCGAAGCCGATACCACACACAGCGACAGCAACAGTATCTTTACCATGGCAGCTCGGCCGCCAAGGGCACTCAGAAAGCACCGACTTCTTAAGCCAAAGTGGCTGCAGGCGAGGGAGGTTCTGACTGGAGGCACCATGCAGATGAAAAGTCCCCTGGTCACCACAGAATAACACATAAGACCCCTGAACTCCTCTGGAAAAAAGTGCTGGCACGCAAAAATGTCTTGTCTCGAGAAGCTCATCCCATCAAACATGGTGCTTGACCTTTTGCCTGCCTCTGTCGGTTGTTCTGTGTCTTCATCGTGCTGTAGTGGGCAGCTTCGGACTCCAACCTCAACCTTTGTGATGGAGACATGTCAGCTGAGACCCATGGCCCATGACCCTCCGGTTGGAATGCTATCTATCCACGCAGGCCACACTGCCGAACCACCGAGGACCGATTTTTCCTGCAAGACCGAAACGAAGACCACCCAACAAAATGCTAACGTAGAGGCCTTCATTTTGGGCCCCCTTATTGTATGATTATAATAAGGAACCCTATCATCAGTAGTGTTGGTAATTATTTTTAGGCCTCTATATTAACAGACTTCCGTTTCGTGGAGACAATCAACCTGGAGACCGAAAGCAGAAGTTGTCTTGCCGGGGTTACAGGAATCGGAGAGGACTTATCAAGCCTATCCATATCTCGGTGTGCCCATGGTCTAAGGTCTGAAGACCGATCCTCTGAACTGAAGCCCCAACGTGTTGAAGCTGGCAGCCGTAAAAATCTCGAAGGCCTGGACACCCACATGAAACAGATCAGATCCGACCAATGCATGAAAACTGCTATCGGATCATCGGTGCTCAGTGCGTCCGCGAATACAGCCGATACAAGCCCCGGGTAAAAGACACTGAATACCAGAACAGCCCTTAGTTCTGCTGGCTGCAAGTCTTCGGGCTTTACGGTGGAGGGTTTAGGCTTCAGGTTCCGGGGCTGGCTTTCGGGCGCAGAGGCTCGAACATGCCCCGCATGTCGGGCCTTCCACCGAAGTGCAGCTCGTGAAGCCCAGTCACAGTCTGTGCATCTGAGATATCATGGACAATACTGGAACTTCCAGAGCGACGTGCGTGCTGAGAGGCTGAGCCAACAGAGGCCACGGCGGGTGCAACGAGTCATGAGATTTTGGTGATTTTGGTGTTTTTGACACACACACACACACATGGTGGTACACTAGTGCCCTCTGCACCTGCGCTTGTTCCCACTGCAACGAGCGGCACTGGCAAAGGAGCCTCATCAGCCGTTAGCTGTGCGGAACGATACAGCATTGTGAGAAAGGGGTGATTCGGAACCATGAACTGTGACCTGAACGCCTTTTCTTTTCTGCAGACTCCCTGGGGCACCTGGCGTTCATGCCGGCGGTTTCTTGAGACTCCTCCTAGGATATGCTTTGGCCTCCGCCCCTCTTTGAAGATTGGTCTCATGGCCTCTGCCGCACTTTGGAGAGGGCCCAGCAAGGCAAAGCATGTTGGCGGCTGGCGGAAGCGCCGAGCTCTTGCAGAAGCGAAACTACGTGCAAAGACCTCATGAAGCTGAGGCTGTCGACAATCACTGCGAGGTAACCCTGAACCCAGGGGCTCTTGCCTCCGACACATTCGGTCAGAGTGGAGCTGGAAGCACAGCAAGGCCCGGAACCCAATGTCACTTTCCTTCCCCACCAACGCAGTACGAGCAAGACTTAATATCTTTTGCTGCACACCTTGCGTGGAACCTGACAGAGGGTGGCAAACCTCCGGCAGCTGCCTTCCGGCCCTACAGCAGGACCAGCCCTACGCTTCGCGGCTCGATCTTGGGGCACTTCCAGTTGTAGAGGTAATACTGCCTTGGTGAACCAGGGCTGCTGTAGAAAGCGAGCACTGGATGAAAGCACCGGGAAAGCTTAGCACACAGACGCCCTGAGATTCCGAATGTCAGGACCTGTGATGGCAAAGAGCCCTCAAGGCAAACTTAACGCTCGTCCATGCCATGCCTCACCGAAATCTCCCACCCAAAGGATGGATACAACTCGATGCCAAACAGGATCCAATACCCCAAAGACATCGGTCCTACCTAGAAACTACTACCAGGAGTTCGGATCCTGCAGGTGCCAGGCCGCAGATACCCATCGCCGATGCCAAACTTCAAGTCCTTTGGCCGCGGCGGAGCTAAGAGCAGGAGGTCTGAAGTTTCATTCGGGGTGGATCTCCAGGCGTCATGTGATGAGCCTATACCTCTTTTTCATCTATCACATGGGATGACCTTCTGGCCACGAAAGACTGGAATTTTGATAGTCCTTCTCTGCTGATATGCAAATGACATCCATTCATATGCCCAACATGTCATGCGTAAGGGCCCAGAGCATGGTTAGCTTTGCCATGCTGCTCGTGGAGCGGTGCAACTTGTTCAATCGAAAGACTTCCGGGGTCTTGATAAGATGCTTCCTTCCAAAATCGCACTGGCTTCTACCGGCCATCGTAGCTCTCGAAGCCCTACTGACCGCTGCAGGCAGCTCTAATGCCTTTTGAGCTACGGGGAAGATTGGAGTGTGCTCCTCGAGAGAGGAACACGCGACTGTGAGAGTCCAGCCGTCTTCGACAATCAATGTCACCGACCTTCGCCCACAACGCCCTGAACTGCATTCCACTTTTTTTGGCTAGCAAGCAGTCCTTCAAGAAAGACTCGTTGTCCATAATGTCGAGGGCGTTGAAGACATCAAACCCCTGGAACACTGAACTTCGGAGGAAGAGTGTCACGCTTCGAGGAGCAACTAGCTTCGCAAGGCAACGGAACGTGCAAGTACTAGCAGGTACACTCTCTCCTGGGAATATCTTCTCCACTGGGGCATGCGCCTGCTGCTTTGCCACGCTGAGAGCATCCAGCATCAAATCCTGGCATCCGTGACGGCACGCGTGCCACGAACGCACAGAGCCCGCTGAAGCGGTGGCGCACTACGTGTGGCCCTCTAAGATTCGACCACCAGAAACCGTAGAGTCGAGATTGCTGTAGGAGTCCTGCAGCGGCACAGTGGTGGCCACGTTCCAGTATGAGTAGGCTGCTCTGAGCAGGTTGTGCTTCGGGTTGCCTCAGGCAGGCATCGTCCAGATCACAACCATTATCTAGTCCACTTCGCATTACCATCATGTTGTCATGATCTCATCATCAGACCTCAGCCCGTAGCCCAGAATCGAAGATGGCAGGCTATAGAACGAAAAGACGTCAGTGACCTCGCCCTTCTCGTTCTCACCTTGCAGTGCCACAACGTCATCTTTCCTGCAGTTAACTTCCCAGAACTCGAACTCGAACAGTCTTGAAAGCCTGGTTTCCAAGCTCCTGGCGCACCCAACATGACACCACGCCTTCCTTTGGCAGCATCCAATGCTCCACCTGCACTTCAGACACGCAGAGCATTCACCATCGATTCCCGGGCATGGCTCCTAAATGATGTGTTTGCCTTTTCCTTGCACAGGATTTGCAATGCACCTTATCAAACGGAAATGCTTTAATATGCTACGGCCGTCGAAGCTTACACCCTACGCGATAATAATAAAGACTGGCCTTCGACGGCATCGAACTCAAACAGCAGTGGTCAATCACCAGCGTAACATGCAAGAAAATTCTGTTCAGCCGCCGAGAACAAAGGTCGATGTAATGGTGCAACTGCTGGAACGAAAGCTCCACATAGCTTTCAGGTACTGCCAATGAAAGCACCCTCGGGCACGCCGACATGTCCCCTTCCAGGCCCAGCTACAGGATCCGGGGTATGGACTGCCCCTTCACAAAGCCTGGTGCGGAATTGTGGAGGTCCACTCTGCCGCGGCGGCATCGAACTGAGCTGTCCTCAGGGCCTGCATGAACGGTGTCCTGCCATCCATGCGAGAGGCGTAGGTCGTCAGAACAGTTGTCCGGCGCAGGCGGTGCTGCAAAGATTTATGGCAAAGAAGAGCCGACCCAAAGACCTGCCGTCCCCAGGACCACTCAGCTGGAAGTTGACATCCGCACGAAGACCGATCAACCGCTTTACCAGCTCTGCCGATCCAGCCCGAAACATGCCTGACGGCCACACCATTCATGACAACTCCAAGGAACCACCTCGGCAGCGTGGCCCCAAGACCCGCGGCAGCCAGCTGGTAGTGCCGATGTCACGTGCCATTGGAACGGCGCCTGCTGCACAGAGCTAACTGAAGGGCCCGACGAGACTCCACGTTCTAAGTGGGCCCTTGCTGCCAGCAGCCGTGTGGCCTCGTAGTGTTTGTAGAAGACTGCCTCATCAAGTGGCGACTTCCGCGCCGGAAAGCCCATCTTCGGCTCATCCTTCCATATTCGCAAGCCTTTCAAAAACTCTATCTTGTCGGCCAGCGGAAGCTGGCCGGCCACCGGCTAGAGCCCACGCAGCTGGAACAGCTGCACAGTCCGTGATTTCATCACCATGATTCACCTTGCCGGTGCTGGCAGTACTCCAGACCTGTCTTCAGGCTTTTGTACTTCAGATAGGCCATTCGCTTTGGATACTTGGTGGGTGGGAACTGGTTCTCACACATGCTGATGCTGGTGGCCACCTCCAGCCTCAAGGGGCCATTTCAATCCCCAGATGTGGCTTCTGCTGAGCAGTGTGAACTCCGCTGCCTTGTTGGGTTCATCCACCTTCAACTTGAAGTCCACCATGCTTACGAGTGCCCACAGAGAGTTCTACCTGAGCCTGCAAGTGCTGCAAAGCCGTCATAAGTCATAAGATGCCACAAGGACATGGAGGCATCTAAAACCCTCCGCATCCGCAGTGAACTTTTCCGCGAAATTATCTGTCCATCTGCGCCTGCAAGCCTGCGGTTGAAGGGCCCAGGCAGATCGCCCTATCGCAGGCAATGGCTCAGCTTCAGAGTGAGGATCCTTTGCATCCTTCTGCCGATCCTCCGCCATACCGAGATCCGCCTCCCCAACGGAACCGTTCAGAAAGGACGACTTCAATGGAAGTCTCCTTTTGAGTGAGAATCCACGTGCTGTTCGGAGACAGCTCCCGCGCGTTCATCCTCTCCTGCTTCAAGTCGATAGCATTATTAACACCTTGCCTTCCAAGGTACAGTAAAGCGCCACAAAAAAGCGGCAGCTGGCCCACCATCGGGCAGCTATCTAGCATAGGTGTCCAGAGGCATCGGAGACTTCGCGGAGAAGCAGCAAGCCATGGATGTGGAACTGTGCTGATAACAAAAAAAGTCGATGCAGACAAAGACTCCAAAAGCTCTTTCCCGAGGAAGCCTCTAGACTCTAGACCCTAGCAGGAGCCGATGAGAGAGTCTGGCTTGACTATAGGGGAAGCAACCATCCTGCCTGGAGGAACCCCGACAACCCTGCTCTGCATCGGGACTCCCACTACCCTTAACTCCCTTAGCTCTAAACCCTGAGCCTGGTTTCGAGACTAAACCCCACACCTAAGCAAGTGGCCCCTTGAGCCTTGCTGCACCCCCCACACCGGCAATTCCGCTTCATCCTAGGCCGGGAGCCTCACATCTTGGAGGATTAAGCGACCTGATGTCTCATTAGCCTGCTTTGCAAAATGGGATCACTTTACTTTACCCGCCCTCATAGGCTGTGGTGTTTCGGATAGAAGAACGAGTGCCCGGAGACTCCGAAACAATCTTTGCTTAAGTTATAAAAAAATGTCCACTATGACAAAGGGATCCTGGAACCCTGCTGGTCAAAACATCTGATCTTCACTTATACTTAAGGCCCCTCAACACTAGATATGCGCAGAACGGGCTAGATTCTATCACATGGCATCCTGAAACACAAAGCGTAACCCAAAGGCCCGCAAACCCGCTGTCGTCTAAACCCAAAACTCAACCACCACACCCTGTCACCAGCCTCGTCCGGAGTAAACTCTGGATGCAACGAGAACTTCCTTACCAGCAGCTCACTTTATCCCTTCCGTTTAACCCTTTATGATTGGGCGCTCGGTGTCTCAGCAGCAGCTAGAGGCAAGGTAAGTCTCAGTTTTGGACCTCAAATGCCCTGCCTGCCAAGCTTGGTTGCGATGCTTCTGGAATCTCTGGTTCAGATCTTGCAACAATCCCGGCAGTTCTGATGCAGCTGACCTTCCTGCAACACCACGCAACACCACCAGTTCCCCACATCGTAAGCCTGCGCTGGTTGCAAAAGGCAGAAATGCACATTAAGCCTGGTCCACCTCCGAAAAGGAAACGCTCACCATAACCCGCGGAGCAGAGGCTCTGCAGGTAGTTCGTGACGAGGCCGTGGACCCGTGGAACATCCTTCCAGCAACCGGCCAGGTTGTGACACACATGTTACAGTCCGCAAGTGAAGACCGAGAGTGAAAGCGGCTCAGTCCAAAGCTTCCCACCCCATATCCCGCAACTGCTGAACTACCTTTTTCAAACCCACAAAGACCTCTCAAGCCCTGATCCACCGCGCGCCCCCCCGAAAGTGCGACTCTCCTCCTTACGCATCTCCCGCATGCCCGCCAGCTGCGGTGTGTCTGGCACCTTTTGGGACTCTTTTTTGGTTCATTTGGCAAGCCCCAGGCTTTGCCAGCTTCTGTGGGTTTGCAGGTGTTTGTTGAAGGGCCCGAGGTGTAGGGAAAACACACACAACGCGGGCTTGAAGGTAATGGGAGCAAGCTTTTGGTTTGACAAAGATAGCCATTCGTGTCGCAAGGGCCTCGCAAATCTTACAAGACTGCAGCACGGGTTTCGGTATAACTACCAAGCACAGTCGGGAACACACAAACGATGTGTGCAGCATCTTACAATATCATTGCAAGGCCTCGATGCAATTAGAAACGGTCCGTCGGAGACCTTTAGGTTTATGTTTTTGCCTCCTGCAATGCTGAGCCAACAGGGTAACTGGGGGCTTTAGTCACAGTAGTAGGCCCACGCGATGAATCTAACGGCGACACTCTTCTACTCGTGTTTTAATCATGGCAAACTACGAAAATGACCGGGCCACAGAAGACTCTACTTCTCTGACAATAGGTCTGGCGATTCCGAAGATCTTGTATGCGCAGGCTTGTGGAAAATCTTTGAGCCTGCTAAACTTGCCAACCCACAGCCAAGCATCGCGGGTCCTTTACCGAGGACTGCAGCCACAGAAAGCATGCCACAGACGAAGTTTGCAGACAGCAGTAAAAGCATCGAAAACGTTGAGCCCGTGCATCGAGAAGTCAAGAATCGAGGACAGCAAATCCAACAGACCCAAAAAGTCTAAGCCGTGAACACCGAGCCTTGTACAGTTTGATGGTCCTGGCCATCGTCATGCGCTGGCCCAGGTGGGAAAACCCCACTTCGATGAGCTTCTTCGGGTTCAGGGAACGGTGCCAGTAGCCTCGAAGGCACGGCGCCCTAAACCCCAAACTCGAACCCGGAAGCCTGAAGCCCTGCACTCCGGAGCCTGAAGCCTTGATTCTGTTGAAGGCCTCACTGGCTCCGGGTTCTGCGTGTCATGAAGCTCTGGACGTTGCGGGGTTTGGCTATGATGTGGAAGCTGATGGCGATCAAATGGTGATGATGGTGATGATACTGTTGCGATGATGATGATGATGACTTGGCGACAGCTTGTACTCAGCTTACAATTGCCACCTCTAGAGGGCTTAGGTCCAGAGTTTTGGGTTTTGGGCTTGACTCGAACGAATTGGACGAAGCTGTCGAGGCGGCAGGTCGGACGCATGGGGCTCTGCGCACTGCTGCGACCGACACTTTTCGGCCCGAGGCTACCTTGTGGTGAATTGCAGCGACTCGCCAAAACGATCCCACAATGCCACGAAGCAGACTAAAGTCACAGAACCCTGGGAATTCAGGCTTTAGGCTTAAAAGGGATGCAAACTCCCAAGCTGAGACGGCTCTTTGCAATCGGGATGCGGCACTGGCTGACCGGTCTGGGGAGCACCACGCCCGCCGTGTAGACTGCCTGCCAGACATTCTCCCGATTCACCCGGCGCGTGATCTCCTTTCGAGCACAGCTTTCAGACATCGGGGTTCGGAGCGAAGGTTTGGGCAGGGTCTCTAACTCTGGCTCAAAACTTGGAGAAAAAAAATGGCATTTGGGGATTTGGTGTTTAGGAGTCATGCTGCAAGATTGGAGGCTGCTCCTTGATGAGGACTGGGGCCAAGCGCTTCGATCGCAGCTTCTTATGCACGCAGAGAAAATTGATCTCCACCATCTGGATAGACTTGTCATATACCTGCACAAGATCTGTGGGTTCAATGCCCTGGGACTGGCAGTCACGGTAATCGTGGTAGCAGCAGCACGGACGGCAGCAGTAGCAGCGGCAGCAGTAGCAGTAGCAAGGTAGCAGTGCCAGTAGTTAGCAGTAGCTGTAGCAGTCGCTGTAGCAGTAGTAGTGGCGGCAGCAGCAGCAGTAGTTTGGAGTAGTAGTAGTAGTAGTAGTAGTAGTAGATGATTAGTAGTACTGATAGCAGTAGCAGCAGCAGCCGTCGTCG